TTTCCTCCAATCCAGCATCACGCCTCCTGCCCGGCCCCTACAGATAAATGGTCCAGGTAGTCTGGAGTCCCAGCTCCTGCCCAGTGGTCCATGGGGTATTTGATCCAGAGCTCACTGAAATCAGCGACTTCAGTGGGCCTTGGACCCGGCCCCTTGGCTGGTATCCGACCTTCTGCCTCACTGGAACACATCAATGGGCCATCTAGTGCTGGGGTCCTGGTTCGGGACCAAGTGTGACTACAATGCAGATAATAACAAGAGGATATTCACTCTCACCAGCGGTTGGTCTTATCCCATTTCCTGCCTCCTGTCAGATAAGATTAGCTAAATTGTCTCCCTCTATCAGTACCCCACCATCCCCCGCCAGGCCCAATGGGCCACTCAGGCTGATATCCTGGCTCTGATGGTGGCCAGCACCATGTTTCAGTGGACGGCCCCCAGATCCCACCTGTGCACCTTGTTGTTCCCTGGCCAGGATGGCAGGGGAGCAGCTTGCATCTTGAAGGATGAAAATTAGTAGCCGGAGGGCCCGAGGCCCCCGCAGTGGCACGGAACTGACGAAGTGAGGTACAGCCAGGTAATCAGAGGGGAGGGATAGCTCAGTGGTTTGAGCATTGGCCTGTTAAACCCAGGGTTGTGAGTTCAATCCTTGAGGGGGCCATTTAGGGATCTGGGGCAAAAACTGGGAATTGGTCCTGCTTTGAGCAGGGGGTTGGACTAGATGACCTCCTGAGGTCCCTTCCAACCCTGATATTCTATGAATCCTGGCACCCACGCGCTGCAGAGGAGGCAAACCCCCGATCCCTGCTGATCTGACCTGGGCAATAATTCCTTCCCCAGCCCACCTATGATCATCAGTGAGGCCCTGAGCAGGTGAGCCAGACCTAGCCAGCCTGGTACCACTGCAGACCCTGGCACTGCTCCTGGGCGTGTCCTGAACCTGCCCCCCCACAATCAGGATCTGTTACTGGGCCCTAGGCATGTTGAGCCCTGAGATGAGTCCAGGGGTTGATCGGCCTCCCCTCCCCGGGAGAGATGAAGCTGTTTTCACCCCGGCTCTGTGCACCCACAGACTCCCCAGCTCTGGGCAGAGTTTAGCTTTCTGTTCCCGAGATGTGATGCTCTCCCTTTGCTCTGCTCCCCAGGCAGCACGGCGTTGCACCTGGCCACCATCGCCTGCCAGCCCCAGTGCGTGAAGGTTCTGCTGCAGGTAAAGATGGAAATTGCCCTCCCTGCCCCCATGCTCCGGGCTGGGCATCGGGGTATTCCCCGCTGGGGTCTCAAGCCATCAGTTGGGCAGCCACAGGGTCCATCTGATTTCCTTACAGACTTGCTTCACGTTCACTGACAGGGTCTGTAGGAGGCTGCAGCGGGGTTTGCTGGTTGGATCAGGGGCCAGGACCTCTTGGGTTCTCCTCTGAGAAAAGATGGGCTATCTGGTCTATGGGTCTAGTGGCTAGAGTGGGGGGGGCGGGTCTGGGAATCAGGACGCCTGGGTTCTATTCCCGGCTTTGGGAAGGGAGTGGCTGTCTAGTGGTTAGAGCTGGGAGGGGGAATGGGAGTCAAGGGCCTGGGTTCTATTCTTAGTCCGGGTGACTTGTGGAGAGTCCCTTCCACCGCTCCGTGCCTCAGTTTCCCCAGCTGTGAAATGAGAATGATAGAGCCTCTCCTTCCATTCGACGAATGAAGATCATGAGAGGGCTGCGCCTGTGATTCGCAAGCGGCGCATTGGGAGCGTGGTAATCCAAACTGGGTGGAATTCAAGCTAAACTGGGCCGGGATCAGTTGCGAATGCAGAGCCCTGAGCCACTTTGTGCATTTCAGGGACGAAATGAGCCCTGAAGCTGGACATAGGGGTGGGGGGCTCCCTGTAGAGCAGGGGTTCTCAAACTGGGGGTTGGGACCCCTCAGGGGGTCGCGAGGTTATTACATGGTGGGGTCGCGAGATGTCAGCCTCCATCCCGAACCCCGCTTTGCTTCCAGCATTTATAATGGTGTTCAATATATAAAAAAGTGTTTTTAATGTATAAGGGGGGGTCGCCCTCAGAGGCTTGCTGTGTGCAAGGGGTCACCGGTACAAAAGTCTGAGAACCCCTGCTGTAGAGTAACTGGGTCCCTCACTTGGATTTCTGGGAGCACCGGTGGAGCTGCAAAACATGGAAGCTCCCCCAGATCTAATCACATTTTCTAGCGGGGGTGGAAAATGGAGGGTCCCCTTCAGAGCCCGGCGTGCACAGGTGCAATTTCTACTCTCCGTTCCCCCACTATTGATCTGGAGTAACCCCAGATGTAGAGGGAGCTGTTCTGCATTTTCCCCCGCAAAACCAGAGATCAGAAACTGGGCCCCAGATCCTCCTGGTTCTGTGGGTGGCATCCCACGAGGCTACCATGCCCTAGCCCAGCCCAGCAGTGGCCGTGTCCCATCTCCTGGCATTTGAGCTGCTTGGGGGCTAATCATTTCCCTCTGGCGTGGCAAGGTGTGGCCGGGGAGTTTCAATCTAGAGGCGACCAGGTAGCAATGGGCGAGACAGAAATGTAACAGGCGTGTCTCTTAGCTCAGGGCAGTGAGCAAATTCCTGCTTGACGACTTACTGTGTTGGCTGTTTGGCCTCTAAGCAGCCAGCAAAACCCCTCCAGATGAACGGATGCCTTGGGATCCTCTGAGAGAAGGCGCCGGGGAGACGCGGGCAGTTGTTCCTGAATTAAGCCCTTGGCTGCCTGGATAATTAGCCCTACTTTACCACTGGGGAAGTGGAGGCTCGGACAGGTGGGGGTTGGCTCGCCCGAGGTTCTGCAGTGAGTCAGTGCTGGAGATGGGAAAACAAGATCGCCTGTCTTCCCAGATCTGTGCTGGGTAGCACTGTGGGGCCTCCATTGTGCTCGGGGCTGTACAAACAGCCAGAGACTGTCCCGACCCCAACGAACTGAGACAAACAAAGCCAGAGGAATGGTCATTATCCCCATTTTACAGATGGGGAAACTGAGGCCCAGAGATTTTTTTTTAAGTGACTTGCCTCAAGGTCATGCAGGGAGTCCGTGGCGGCCTTGGGGCTAGAGTCTAGGCATCTGGAGTCCCATGCCAGTGCCGTAGCCACTTAATTGAGGGGCATCATCTGTCCTGGATACCTGGAAGCCCTGCTTGGCTCACCCGAGGGTGAGGGTTCCTGCTGTCCCACGTCGGCTGGGCCATGTCTCCCTCTTGGGGCAGGAGGTGGGTCTGCAGCTCTGCGCTCCAGCCACCCCCTGGCCCATTGGCATGGGGAGGGGAGGTGGCCATTCTCACGCACTGCCCTCACGGCCACGTTTGTTCCTCACAGCACGGCGCCAACGAGGACTGCGTGGATGGGGAGAACCGCACCCCCCTACACTGGGCCGGTGAGTCAGTCCCGGGTGGCGCAGGCTGTCGGGCCGGGCGAGGGGAAAAGCTGAGCCCTGAATGGAGCCCTGTCTGACATGCGCATCACGGCAGATCTTCTAATGGGGCTGAGGCGTGAGGGGCTCGGAGCCAGGCTGATCAGCGGGGGGGGCTGAGCCCGGGCTCCTGGAGACAGCCGGAGGGGGCTGAGAGCTGGCTGGGGCCCCGTCTCCCAGCAGGGAGATCTGACGAGTTCCCTCCCATCACGGTCATCTTCTTGTTGCCGTGCTAGAGAGACAGACATGAGGCAGGTCTCCCATGGGAGTCCCTAGAGTCTTCTCTCTCTAGACCTCACCATCCCCATACGTGTCTGTCTGTCTATCGCCGTGCAAACCTGCCTGTCTGTCCTAGCTACCTACTTGCCTTTCTATCCCCCGACGTACCTCTGTCCACCTCTCGCTCCATCCCCAGACATGTGTCTGTCTGTCTGTCCATCCGTAGGGATGGGATGCTGACAATGCGCAGTGCCTGCGCATGTCCACTGGGTGTCGCCGTTGATTAGGTGAAGCCAGCCAGGGGCCATATGGACCTCGAAGAGCCTGATTTGAGTGTGGGCAAAATATACCAGTCCCTACAAGCCGCCTGAGTCCCCGGGATAGTGCCCTGCAGGGTTAGCGGGTGGGGAGCCAGACTGCAGGAGCTGCATCAGGGCAGTGGATTGTGTTCCAGCCATTCCCCGCCACACCCACCTTCAAGGAGAGGACCCGAGCGACCAGAGATGGAACAAATCTAGAGTGCCCGGTCCCATCTAGTCTCTAGTCCACCTTTTTGGCCAATGCTGCCTGGCTTGCCCAGTCTAGCTGTAAATATGCCCTGGGACAGGGCTTCCCATGGGAGATGCCCTAACAGATCTTCCTCCCTCCCTCCCCCTCCTGGGGGTTTAAACCCACGTGGGGAAACGACCCTGCTCGGGTCTCGCCTCGTCTGAAGAACCGTCCTGTGCAGAGAACAAGGCCCCAGCTTCAGGAGGTCTCGAGTGATGACGGTCAGACTGAAGACTCCTTCCCTCATTGGCCCTTGAGAGAGGGCGTACCTGGTGCTCTGGGCAGCCGGGGCCTAGGCGTGGCAGCAGCCAGGCGTGTCCCTCGAGCACTGACCGCTCCTTTTCCTCCTGCCCCGCAGCCTCGTCAGGGTGTGCATCCAGCGTCTTGCTCCTGTGCGACCAGGAGGCCTTCCTGGATGTCACCGATAACGTGAGTGTAAAACCCCCTTCGGGACAGGGCCTGGTGGAAGGACCCTCACGAGGGGTGAAACTCGCTCCCCGTGTGGAGGGCACGGGCCAGGGGCCTTATAACCTTTGCAAGGGCTCGGGGAGCCGGCTCCCAGCCGCGGGGTGCTGGGAAGCCGCGCCGGCTTTGGGTGGGGCTCCGCCACGCAAACCGCCTCTGCCGTTCCTTCCAGAACGGACGCACGCCCCTGATGATAGCGGCCATGGGGAACCACCCCACCATCTGCTGCCAGCTGCTCCAGAGAGGGGCCAGCGGCGACCTCACCGACAAGGACCAGAAGTGAGTCTTGCCTGGGCTCTGAGAATCAAAACAGCACTGGCACCGGGGGCATTGTGGGGGGTTTTCCCCCAGGAAATGGCGGGGAGGGAGCAGTTCCCCAGGGGCATTATGGGCATTCTCACCAGGGAATGGGGGGGGTAGTTGCCCAGGGGCATTATGCTCACCAGGGAATGGTGGGGGGGGACAGTTGCCCAGGGGCATTATGGGCATTCTCGTCTCAATATGGGACCTCGTCTCACGCACTGTCCCCAGGTTTCATGAGGTGGCCCCCAAGGCCTTCCAGAACTTCTGGGAGCTGCTGTGGGTCCTGTGGGACAGCTGGCTGTTATTACAGGAGTCCCCTAAAATTTCTCAGCCTGGTCTGAGGGCCAGGACCACCCGAGAGACGGGGGTCATGACTGGGAGTCAGCGCTTGCAGCCAGCCTGTCCTTCCTGTATTACTACCTGGGGAGGAGTCGGGGCTAGCCAACAATGGGCAGCCCCAGGTTGGGGGGCCCCATACAGGAAAGGTTCAGAACTGCTGCCCTAAATGGGAGCTGCTCCAGTGGGCCAGAGCAGAGAGGGCCAGTTGAGGGGGATCCACACACAAAGGATTATCCAGGTGGCCTGTCTGCAAGGGGTGCCCTTGGGGCTTCCCAGAACTGTCCCTGACGCCCCCTCACGTCCTCCTCCAGGACTGCTCTGATCCTGGCCTGTGAGAGCTCCAGTGTGGAGTCCGCCGAGCTGCTGGTAAGCAGCGGGGTGGACCTCAGCGTGGTGGACAGGATGGGCCACGACGCCCTGCACTACGCCCTGCAGTCCCAGAGCCGCCCGCTGCGGAGGCTGCTGCGAAGTGCCCTGAAGAAGAGGAAGAGAAGAGGTGAGGGGAAGGGGCTGCTGGTTTTGGGGTCAGGAAGGGATTGGGGTGGGGGGGTTCACCTTCCTGTGCAGCATGGGGCACGGGTCCCTTGCTGGTTCCAACTAGAGTAACTGGCAGATCCTCTGTCACTCGAAGTCTTTCCATCAAGATCGGACCACGTCAGTAACGCAGCCAGAGGTCCGGGGCCTGTTACAGGCGCGGGTGGGCCAGGGTCGGTGGCCTGCTATGGGCAGGAGGATGTACAGGGTCACGACGGTCCCGTCCAGCTGAACGTCTAGCAGGGGCTGAGTTATCCAAAATGCAAGGCTGGCACACCAATCAGAGATTAATGCAAGAAGCTTGCTTAGCGCGGGACACATTTCCCACTCTGGCGGAGGCTTCTAAAGGACTTGGGGGACCCTCTGCTGAGAGCCATTGGTAACATGGCAACTATTAGTTAGTAGGTAGTGTTTTACTTCATTCCGAGATGCAGAAATGCCTCAGAAAGCAGCAAAAACTGTTCCCCCGCCCCCGCCCCCAGCGTCCACCTCCAACTTTCCCTTTGTGCCTCTAATCGGCTCCTTTGGTTGGATTACACCCACCCTCGCTCGGGCAGGATATTGGGGTTTTTTTTTTTTAATGCGTGTTTGTTTAGTTCATTTGCAAGGAGGTCTCCAGCCTCCGGCAGCTTCTCCAGATGGTTTTGATTTCTAAAAGCAATCATCAGGCTTGGCGGGACTTGGCGAAATGTAATATCCAGGGGACCCTTGTCTTCGGCGTTCCGCTTGCTAGGCTTTGGTTTCCATGGCGACTGCCGTATGGATGAGGGGCAGGGCCAGAGCCAAAAAATAAACCGCCGGAACGTTTCCAAAAGAATCTCAGCAAGTTTTGTGGAGGATAATAAGACAGCTTTGCGCGTAGGGAGGAAATTCAGCCTCGTGGCTAACGCACAGGACTGGGAATCGGGAGATCTGGCTCTGCTACTGGGTGACGCTGGGCGAGTCACTTCCCCGCTCGGTGCCTCGGTTTACCCAAGGGTGGTGTCCAGTGTTTTAAAGCAGGGGTCTGGAAGTTGGAACCCCCAGGTTCTAGTTCCACCTCCGGGGAGGAGTATTGCCTGGTAGGTAGGGCAGAGGACTGGTGTTTTGTAGCTAGCTCTAGGACGGGAGTGTGCTCCCATGGTTGGAGTTGGGTTCTGTTTCTGGCTCGGCTACAAATTCGCTGTGAGACCTTGGCCAAGTCACAGCTGTTGTCATTGGGGATGATCCGTTACCCACCTTACTAGCTGAATTCCTGCTTGTGCAGAGCTGGGAGATCCAGAAGGCAGGGGCTGCCGGGGGGCAAGGCAGCTCGCCACTCTGCGCTACGGAGAGTTTTAAAATTTCATCCAGTGTTTTTATTTTTCCCCTGGCAGAGCACGGGCCCGGCCGTCAAACAGGAGTCACTGCACAGGTGAGGAGAACCAGCCAGAGAAAGACTGGAGGTGTGTCAGAGCTTCTTGGCTGTGTTACACAGCGATAAACTCTGCAGTCCCTGGTTACACACGGAGGATTGGGGGGGAGTTAGATCGGATCAGCCCTGATTGTGCTGCTGTTACCAGGCCTGAAGCCCGAGGGCTTGATTCCCCAGCGCCGTCCCCTGGCGGCGTCTGTGCAAAATGGGTGCACAAAATGGCTCTTCTCGTCTGCTGGCGTTTTCTGCTCTGGTGTAAATGATGGCGCAAGGGGCAGAACTGGGCCTTTTCCCCACCAATTTGGTTCACGTAGAATGCCAGCGAGAGCAGTGATTTTCAGGCCCGTCCAGCCGAGGGGCAGATTAGAACTGGCCTCCTAAGGTCTATTGGGAAGGGAAAAGGCTCCACCTCCTAGTACCCATCCCCTTGGGGAGTGTCTGGCTGACTTTTGTCCTTGTTATTTATAGGAGAGTAGCACCTAAATGTCCTCAATGTGCTAGGTGCTGTACATACCTAGAGGGCAGGGGGTTCCCAATTTGTGCTGGCACAACTCCATTTTAATAAAGTCTTTCCTGCCGGGACCCTGGACAATCTGGAGGATGCCATTTTGAAGAGCAAAATGGCGTCTTCCGCACAGTGCGACCTTGCACCCACCGTACGTGTGAGGTCACGGTGCGCGGAGGACGCCATTTTGTAGCGCCTCTCCAATAAACTCATCTGTTCTGTTGTGGTTCCAGGTGACCGCCGAACCACTGGAGCGCAGCAGCAGCAGCACAACCTTGCAGAGTGAGGTAGGCGGAGACGCCGACGGGGATGAAGAGGATCTCGACGCCGAGGAGTGGAGGTGTCGGTACGAAGACGAGCAGATGAAGGTCCTGCAGCTGGAGGAGCAGCTAGTGAGGAAGGCGAAGGAGTGTGATGCCCTGGTGGAAGGGTGCAAGGTGATGAAGGAGAGGATCTGGGACCAGGTGCAGGAGATAAGCCAGCTGTTGCCGGAGAGGGCAGATGAGGGCCGGCGGGTGCTGAGCCGCCGGTACAGCCGGGACACCACAGAAGAGGACTATTACCTGAACCTTTTGGCTGAACAAGTGCAAGAGCTGAAGAAGAGACAGCAAGAGGCAGGGAGAGGAGGAAGCCAGAACGTAGCAGTGAAGGAAGAGAGGATACAGTGGCCGGGGGAGGAGGAAGAGGAGGAGAAGAGACACCATCAGGAGGAACTGCAGCGGCTCCAGGCCGAAGTGGCCACGGCCCTGGAGGGGAAGGAGAGCGCGATGAAGAGGGTGGTGGAGATCGAAGGCCATCTGGAGAACATGAGGGCGGTGATCGCCGTCTACGAGGCCAAGAAGCGGGCCCATAGTGAGGCGCTGGAGCAGCTGCAGGCTCGTGTCGCTGAGCTCGATGGCGACAACCAACGGCTACGCGGGCTGCTGGGAAAGCAGCAAGGAGAAAGCCAGAAGGCGGGAAGGCAGGAGGTGGATCAGAGAGGGCCCAGAGCCGCTCTCCATGCTGAGCTAGGCCAGATCCTGTCATGGATGAGGGAGACAGCTGACAGAGCACAGGAGGAGAAGGCCGCGGTCCTCGCTGAAAACGAGGCTCTGAAGAGGGAAGCAGAGGAGGCCCTCGGGGGCAAATTTCACCTCGAGGCGGTGCCATCAGAAGCCATCAGGAAGAGCGTGGCCTCTTGGGAGAAGATGGTGATGGGCTTAGAACGTGCTCTGGCCAAGATGGATGAGGCCAACTCCAGCCTCCTGGAGAAAGCCAGGCCTCTTCAGGAAGCCATCTCAGCCCCTCAGAGCAAGCAGGAATCAGGGGTCTTGGTAAACGGCATGGTGGCTTCCCAGCTCCAGGAGCTGAGAAATGGCCTGGAGCAGCATGAGGAGGAGAGCAATGTCTTTAGAGATGAGGCTGAGTCTCCACTGAGGCAACCTCAATCCCCGGAGGAGCTGGAGAAGGGCAGGATGGAAAAGAACCCGCTCCAAGATGGCCTCCATGGGCAACTCAGACCTAGGCTGAGGAATGATTCTGTGGAAACCAAGGGCCAGGCCAGGAGGAGAAGCTCTGACCTAGAGAAAGAGGTGTCGGACCTCAGACAGAACAACGGCAGCCTCATGAACGAGCTGGCCCAGTTGGGCCAGGAGAGGGAGAAGCTACAAGATGAGCTCCAGCGCCTCTGGCAGCACCAGAAGGACGGGTCCCCCCAAGGAGAGGCTCAGAGCCTGGTGGAGGAGCTGAGGCAGAGAGTGGCCGCCTTGTCCCGGGAGCTGTCAGCCGAGAAGGAAGAGACCAAAAAGCTGAGGCTAAGGCTAGAGACCCAGAAGAGGGAGATGGTGGTGCTGAGGGACAGTTTCCTCAAGCAGATGATGGGAGAGGCCAACAGCGTGGGAAGCCAGAGCCTCAGCACCTGCATCTTGGAGGAGCTGCACTGGAAACTGGACAACCTAGTGAAGAAGCATAACGAGGCCCTGCAGCTGGTGTCGGAGATAGAAGAGGAGAGCCAGGTGCTTGTGGGCGACCAGGCTCCTGCCGTGCAGTGCGAGGCTATCGACACCTCCGTTGGGGGCGAGAAAAGCCCTCAAAACCACAGTGTCCAGGCCCTCGGTCAGGAAGCGCCCGAGACCTTAGAGATCGTTGGCGGAGAGCTGGTGCTTGAACCCTGGCGTTGGGTGAACGAGCTGGAGAGAGATCTGTGGGAGCTGAAGGAGGAGCTAGAGGCAGCTCAGGCCACCCTGGGCGGCGAAAGCCACGACGTGACCAAGCTGAAGCAGATGCTCGACCGACTGCCCGTGAAGGTGGCAGAGTTGTGCTCGGAGGAGGAGGAGACCCTGCGGATGCACGAGAAGGCCTGGAGCTCCCTGGCGCTCCAGACTCAGGCTCTGGAAGAGGAGCTGCGAGCCCTTCAGGAGAAGCATGAGGAGGTGAGGGGGAAGTCCGCCCAGCGGGAAGAGGCCCTGGCCGCAGAGAAACATAAGAACAAGGACCTGCTGGCCAAGATGGCGGAGCAGGAGAAGGAAGCAGGAGAGCTGAGGGGGAAGTTGGAGCAGCTGGAGAGAACCATCCAGAAGCTGAACAAGAAGGTGGAGGAGCTCTCCAGGACCTGCCAGGACAAAGAAGGGAAGGTAAGACCAAAGAGACCTCTGGAGCTGGCCAGAGGCCTATTAGTGTAGAAGAGCCTGACACAGCACCCATTGAACCAACAGAAAGACTCCCATTGGCTTTGATGGTGGCTGAGATCTTCAGCTGGTATAAATCAGGGTAGTTTCATTGTCTTCAATGGAGCTACGCCGACTTTCAGCAGCCAGTGATTTGGCCTATAGATTTCAGAGGAAAGGACTGAGGGTGGAGGGGGGGTCTCCACGTACTCCAAAGCTGCCTTCTCAGCCGGATCGCCTGCTTCCCTGGCACAACATCCCACAGCAAGTCCCTGGACTTGCATGTCCAGTTTCCATGGGGTTTGCAGGTGTTGCTCCCAGGGCTCAAATCAGCCTTGCGATGCTATTGGTTGAGATTTTCGAAGGGGAGGTTAGACACCCAACGTGCCTGAATCCCATAGCCGGCTTGGATGGTCTCACGCGCGGGTCCTTTAAATGTTCCCTGCTCTGGACGCGATGCTCAGGGTTCGATTGTTAACTCACACTGGAACAATGTCCTGGTCACAGGGGGTTTCACCCTTATTGAAAATACCAAGGGCCTGATTTTCAGTTGCCCTGCAGCGTAAAAGAGAGTACAACTGAGAATCGGACCCTGCAGGGTTCCGTAGTATTGGTCCAAGGCACTAGAAGTGGAGAAGGGGGCGGTCACGAGCTGGTATGTAGAGATGCCCAGAACAACCCATTTGCAGTGCGCACCCAAGTTTTCATTGATCCTACCAGCCCCAGGAACAATCCTGCATTTTCTTGAGTGCCACACACTGGCACCATAGCTAATAACTATTTATCTGCATAGAGCCCTCTGATCAAGATAAAGGTCTTGAGAACATGACCTATGAAGGAAGGCTGAAAGAATTGGGTTTGTTTAGTTTGGAAAAGAGGAGACTGAGAGGGGACATGATAGCAGTTTTCAGGTATCTAAAAGGGTGTCATAAGGAGGAGGGAGAAAACTTGTTTACCTTAGTCTCTAAGGATAGAACAAGAAGCAATGGGCTTAAACTGCAGCAAGGGAGGTTTAGGTTGGACATTAGGAAAAAGTTCTTAACTGTCAGGGTGGTTAAACACTGAAATAAATTTATAAGCCTAGAGAGGTTGTGGAATCTCCATCTCTGGAGATATTTAAGAGTAGGTTAGATAAATGTCTATCAGGGATGGTCTAGACAGTATTTGGTCCTGCCATGAGGGCAGGGGACTGGACTCTATGACCTCTCGAGGTCCCTTCCTGTCCTAGAATCTTTGAATCTATGAATCACAAGCCTTAGCAATTTGGATCATCACTGTATATGTTCCGGGGTGTTCAGCAGAAACTGGCCTGAGACTCACCAAGTCCATTTCACACAGGAGCTCCTGACTCGCCAGCCCATGGGAACAGCTGTCAGTCCTTCCCGAACCAGGCTGGATTCAGAGCCCATGACTAGTGTCCCTAGCCTCTGTTTGTCAGAGGGTGGAGATGGATGGCAGGAGAGAGATCACTTGATCATTACCTGTTAGGTTCACTCCCTCTGGGGCACCTGGCATTGGCCACTGTCGGTAGACAGGATACTGGGCTAGATGGACCTTTGGTCTGACCCAGTACGGCCGTTCTTATTATGTTATCCCAGCTCTAGTTCCCTGAATCACCCATTTAAAAAGCAAAAAGGGCCAGGAGCAAGATGTCAGGAGCTATAGGCGAAAAGGGTTGGGGGTCAGAAACTGGCATCTCCCGTGGAATGGAAAATTCTGTAAAATGTTCCATTTGGAAGCATTGGGTTGTTTTGTTTCAATAACGTCCAAATGTGTCATTTCAGTCCGATAAAGATCTTTCATTTTGGCTCTCAGTTTGATTCACGTTGGTTTGACTTTCCTATTAGATGAAAATATGATTGGATCAGATCAAATACGTATCGTACCTAAATATAGGATATTCATTTTCAGAGTTTCATCAAAGAGAAAAGTCTACATGAAATGAATGACACGCATGTCGAAATGAAATGTCTTTACCAAAAGTACACGTTTGTTTTGTTGTGCTAACGTCAAAAGTCGAAACGATTCGGATCGACTTTTCCCCCCATAGAAAAACGTCAGCGAAATTGACGCGTTCCTGCAAACGTTTTCCAACAGCAAGACGTTTCGCTGGAATATTTTTGACCAGCTCTAGTTGGGGGAGGGGTTAGTGGCAACATCCTAGGGGCCAAGTCCCCAGTGGGTGTAAATTGGCCTAGCACCTTTGAAGCAGAGGGAAGAAAACTGATTTACGCCAGCGGAGGAGCTGGCGGTATGGAACCCAATCTGTGACATGACGTTCTTCTCTGTCGTTGAACTGTAGATTAAAAAGCTGCTGAAGGAGACGGAGAAGCTTTCGGCAGAGATCCTGGCCCTACGCAGC